GATCTCTGAGGAGCTCGGTGGAGCCCTCCTCGGCAACAGGCCACGCCCCCAGGAAGCCCCCTTCTATCCCTGATGGTGTAACCTAATGCCTGCAAGAAAGCCACCCAGCTCAGAGAGCCCCAAGGACCCCGCAGTTCTCCTCCTCCTCCTCCTCCTCCTCCTCTCTGGAAGCCCAGCCCTCTTCTATCCCTGATGCTTTAATGCAAGAAAGCCACCCAGCTCAGAGAGCCCCAAGGAGCCCCCAACCCAGGCGTGGTCCAGGAGGCATCTGGAGGAGGGTCTCCAGCCCCGTCCACCCCACGGAGTCCTTGGCCTCCAAGAGCAGCCCAGGCCGGGTGGGTCTTTCCCACTGAGCAGCCGCTAGGAAAGAGAAGCCCCCGGCCCAGCTGGTCCCATTGGGGAGCCCTCCGCCAGGAGACGCCCGGGATGCTGCAGGAGCCGCTGGCTGACCTCGCTTCCTCCCCTCCTCCAGGGTTCGGCAACTGCCTGGTCACGGGGGACCCGCATTACCTGACCTTCGACGGCCTCCTGCACCACTTCCAGGGGCTGCACACCTACGTGCTGGCCCAGACCCGGCCTGATGCTTCCGATCGCCTGGAGCCCTTGAGCATCGAAGGGACCAACCGCCTGGTGGCCGGCTCCGGCCAGCCCTCCGTGCTGAAGGAGCTGCGCATCCGCGTCTACAACCACACGGTGCTCTTCCGGCAGAGGAGGAAGCTGGTGGTAAGGGCCCTCCCGGCAGCCCTGCGCCCACCCTCAGCCTGGAGGCCTCCGAAGCCCCTCCAAAGCCCCCTCCCCAGCTTCAGCTCTGCGGGGCCCCTGAGCCAGGGAAAGGGCCGTGGGCATGGAAGGGTGGCCCCTAGGCTCACTGAAGCCCTCCTGCTGTCGAAAGGCAGCGTGGGGTGCCAGAGTCCCCCCCCCAGGGCATCCCCAGAAAAGACCCCCCTCCCCCCACCGGCAGAAAGGGGGAAATGCAGGTAGTCCTTGACTTACAGCCATCCATTTAGTGACCATTCAACGATAGAACAGCACTGAAAAAGTCACTTATGATCACGTTTCACACTTACGACTGTTGCGGCATTCCCCATGGTCACAGGGTCAAAATTCAGACGCTTGGCAACTGGCTCGTATTTACGACGGTCGCAGTGTCCTGGGGCCACGTGATCCCCTTATACCCCCCTCAGACAAGCCAGGTCAAGGGGGAGCCAGATTCCCTTAACAACTTAACAGCTGCAGTGATTCACTTAACAACTGTGGCAAGAAAGGTCGTAAGGTGAAGCGAAAGAAAAAGCTTTGCTGGCTGGGGGATTCTGGGAATCTGCCGGGCTTCACGTTGCCAAGGTTGGAGAGCCTGCGCTAAGTGGCTCCTGCCTGTGAAAGGGGTGAATCGCTTAGTGACCATTTGAAGTTACAAGGGCACAGTGATTTATGACCATTTTTCACACTTACGACCATTGAAGCGCCTCTGTGGCCACATGATCGAGATTGGCACCTGGCATGTACTTATGACGGTCGCTGAGTCCTAATGTGGCCTTTGGAGAACAGGGGTCATGCTGCCATCTCCCCTCCCCCCCCCCAGGTGGACGGAGTGGCCACTGAGCCCCCGGCGCGACCTCACGAGGGGCTCCGCATCCAGCAGAGCGGGAGGCAGATTTTCCTGGAGTCCGACTTTGGCCTCTCGGTCAGCTTTGACGGCCTGGAGAATTCAGGTGAAGCAGCTGCAGGGGGCTTGGGGGGGAGGGGGGAGAGGAGGGGGCAGACCAAGGACCCTCCAGAGCTCCCCTGGGGTTCTGGCTTGGGGGAAATCATCTCTGCAGAAGAACGGATGCAGGAATCGGGTTTGGGCAGTCGAGGGAGAAGGAGGACCAGTGGAGACACGTTGACAGTCTTCCAGTATTTGAGGGGCTGCCCCAGGAAAGAGGGGGGGGTCCGCCTGTTCTCCAAAGCCCCCGAGGGCAGGACGAAAAGCGACAGATGGAAACTCATCAGAGAGAGAAGCAACTGGGATGAAGGAGGAATTTCCTAGCAGTGAGGACTATTAACCAGTGGAACCGCTTGCCACAAGAAGTTATGGGAGGGAGGGAGGCTTTTAAGCACAGCGTGAGGTCTCCTGGGCTGGACTAGAAGACCTCCATGGTCCCTCCCAACCCTCTTATCCTGTGATTCCTTCCCTGGCCAGGCATCCTGCTGCCCAACAGCTATAAAAGGAGCCTGGAGGGCCTCTGTGGCAACTTTGATGGGAGGTTCAAGAACGACTTTGCCAAGCCAGATGGCACCCTGGTCAAGGACGTCCAGACCTTCGGGGAGAGCTGGAGAGTCCCCGTCCAGAGAGGCTCCTCCCACCTCAGGTAGGGGCTCCTGGGAGCAGCCATCGCCACCTCTGATGGGCAGGCTGAGTCCTCCCCAGGACCACCAGAGCCCCCTCCCACCACCAGCAGCACCCCCTTCCCTGAAGAGGACGGCCCACACGATCCCAGGCGCTGTGAATGGACAGTAGCCTCAGAACTGACCCGCATTGGCCATGGGTGCCAATCCTAGAATCCACTTAGAAGGGTACTAGAGGCCATGTAGTCTCTTTCCCTTCCTCCAAGGGATCCTGCAAAGCCTTTTCCCTTCCAGGCGAAACCGCGTGGCCGAAGAACCCCCGGAGGAGGCTGAGCTGGACGTGGGATTTTCCCCCCTTTGCTCCGAAGAGGACATCAAGGTGTTCAGTGGCAACTCCGCCTGTGGCATCCTGGCAGACCCCAAGGGCCCCTTCCGAGGCTGCTTGGCCCACCAGGACCCCGACCCCTTCCTGCAGTGAGTGCGGCTTTCTTCTCCACCCCACCCCCACATCGCCCCCCCCTGTGGGGCCAGGAGGGATCAGGGGGGGTCTGCATAACTTCTTAGCTCCCGCCTGTGCCCTTCCTGGGAGGCCCCGCCTTCGCCCACTTCCTGCCACCAGACATTCCGAGCTTCTCTGCCCCTTTGCCCTCCCTCCCCCTCCTCCCGGGCTGGAGCCCCCTTCTTCACCTGCCCTGCAGAGCCCCCCACCCCCACCCTGTGCAGTGCTGGCCCACTGCCCCTCCCCCATGCCGACCTCCTGCTTCTCCTCCTACTGCAGGAGCTGCGTGTTTGACATGTGCAGAGAAGCCAACCGGAGTGCCCGTCTGTGCCCCATCCTGGAGCAGTATGCCAAGGGCTGCCAGAGCAAGAGCCTCTCGGTGGCCGACTGGAGGGCAGCCAGCGGCTGCGGTGAGAAGCAGCCTCCTTCCTCGGGGTGGGGGGGCATCTCAGGAGGGAGGCCTGGCCTGGCACCCCCTTGGGCAGGGGAGCCAGTGGGGTCACTGCCCCAACACTCCCAGGGCGCTGACGGGCTCTGCCCCATGGCATCCTCGTGGGACAGAGGGAGGGGGCGGCCCAGGGTGGGAGGAGGGATAGGCTCTGGCCCAGACCCACGCAAGGCTTCTCTTCTCCGCCCACAGCCGTCCAGTGCCAGCCCCACAGCCACTACAACCCCTGCATGTCAGCCTGTCCCCCGTCGTGCTCCGACCTGGCGGCCCCCGCCAGCTGCAGCTCCCCCTGCCTGGAAGGCTGCGAGTGCGAGTCTGGCTACGTCCTCAGCGGCTTTGACTGCGTGCCCTTCCGGGACTGCGGCTGCAGCTTCCTGGGCAAATACTACAAGGTACGGGGCCCACTCCTGCCTCCCCCCCACCCCATCACCCTCTTTGAGGGTCCCCACTCCCAGGTCCTCCAGCTGCAGCAGAGAATCTCTTCCAGTAAGGGGGCTCTCTCTCTCCTCAATCCCCCCTCCCCCGGGGCTCCTTTGGGCCCCACCCCTCAACTAAGGAAGAGCAGAAGGAAGCTTTCCAGCTTAGGGTCGCTCAAAATCCAAGCCATGGATGTGAAACTCTCAGGCACATGGGTCCCTGGTGCTTCATCCATAAATGGGGAGCGGAGTGGCTCACGTGGGGAGGATGCTGGGCTGGAGGTTGGCAAGGCCATGTTTGAGACCCAAGTGCTGCCACAGGGCGGGGTGAGCTCCTGTGCTTTGCTCCAGCTCTGGTGGGGGCATTAAAGGGACCCCCAAATGGGCGAAAACAATCCCAGGCACCGATGACATCGCCAGCGAATCCTTTCAACCCGGAAGCCCCTTTTGACACCAGTCAGCATCGTCTGCATCCTCTTTTAACGACCCCGCAATCCCTTGCGGGGTGAAGTCTGGGCGGCTGAATGGAGCCAGCAGAGTATTTTAATGGCCGGATGCCCTTCCTGTCGCCAATGCGGAGTTTTCTTCAGCAGATATATTCTCATTGTGCCCAGAGAGAGAAATATCTGCCTCTATCTAGGATCAAACTCACAACCTCCTGATGGTGAGGCGAGAGCTCCGTCTCTTGGCCACCGCAACACTCCTGCTTTCAACACCACCACAATCCATAAATACCTACATCAAGTGCCCCCCCCCCCACTAAGCAAAATCACCCGCAGTTTCTACTCGTTGTTCTGAAAAGCTCTGCAGAATCTTGAGCCAAAGCAGACCTTTAGGGGGGGGAGACCCTCCCTCGCAATTGTGGCGAGGAGAGGGGGCTCTCCTCATCATTGTATAAGCACCCCAAGTCCGCCTATGTGAAATTGGCCCTCGGCCCCACTGCTCACCCGTGGGCTGGGAAAGCTGAGGAGCTGGTCCAGTGGGGCCTTTTCCTCCTCTGGGGAGCCCCCGTCCATCTCCTGCTCCCCCTTTCTTGACCAGGTGGGGGACCGCTTTATGGCCGATGACTGCAGCCAAGACTGCGTCTGCAGGGACAGTTCCAGCCTCGACTGCAAGGCCACCGGCTGCCCCCAGGACTTCCACTGCCGCATCTTCAACTTCACCCGCGGCTGCTATCAGGGTGAGTCTTCCCGGGGGAGCGGGGTGGGGGGTGGGGGAATACTGTTGAGCTGCAGGAGGGCCCTGTGTGTGTGTGGCGCAGCGGTTAGAATGCGGCATTGCAGGCAAACTCGGCCCCTCTGCCCAAGGGTTCGATCCTGACCGGCTCAAGGTTGACTCATTGGCCTTCCATCTTTCCATGAAATGAGGAGCCAGATTGTTGGGGGGCCAAGAGGCTGACTCTTTAAGCTGCTTAGAGGGGGCTGGAAATCCCTGCCGAGCCGTGTCAAAGTCTAAATCAGAGGTGGGTTGCGGCCGGTTTGGCCTGGATCGGCCAAATTGGTAATAGTTGCAGCAGGAGGCTCTGCCCACTCGCCTGGGCACCTCTGTGCATGCGCGGGAGCATCCCCAAACTGGTAGTAAGTTAGCAACCCACCTCCGGTCTAAATGCCTTGTGTCCTCAAGGGGCACCAGCCCCTTGTGGCCTTTGTCACCCCACCCAGACGGAGGGGCTGGGGGGCTGCCACAGCCAGGAGGGCTGCCCCTTTCCGAGCCCCCGTGTTCCTCCTTTCCTCTGCAGCTGACCCCTGCGAGCCCAACTCCTGTGCCAACAATGGGACCTGTGTGCTGGACGACAGCCCAGATACCTTCCACTGTGAATGTCTGGAGAATTACGAAGGGTTACTCTGCGAGACACGGGTCACGCCAGAAGGTAAACACACACACAGACACACACACAGACACCATCCATGGGTTTAATCAGTGTGTCCCACAAGCTGCTTTGGGTCCCTCTTGCCCATCCCAGAGATTGTTTCCACTCCAGAGAAGAGAACCATCAGACCCCCATGTTGGAGCCGTCCTATGTGGGGCTGGCTGTTCTCTTGGTGCCCCCAAAGAGAGGAGGGGTAACTGCACAGGAGTCTATAAATGAGGGGTGCCGGGGGGTCCCTGAGCTTGGTTGTTTTCTTGCAGGCATCACGATACCCAAACTAGGTAACATCATCAGTGTAAGAGGGTGAAAGCAAACCTCCCTCCCTTCCAGCACTGATGATGTTGCCTAGTTGGGTCATGAAACCCACCAAACTCAGAGACCCCCAAGGACCCTCATTTTAACCTTGAGCTACAAGGGTTCTCTCTCATTGGAGTCTATAAAACAACGTCCCAGCCTGCCCTCCAGGCAATCTCAGATCTCCTGGGGGGCTTCCAAGAAACACCCAGCCCTCTCCTAAGGCAGGGACACCCCCACCCGGCCCTTAGCAAGCGTTCTCCTCCCTCTAGGGCTGGGAAACAGGTGGAGGTGGTCAAATTAACCCGTTTTCTGGGCTGGTTCATTACACCAGTGTTTCTCAACCTTGGCAACTTGAAGATGTCCGGACTTCAACTCCCAGAATTCCCCAGCCAGCGAATGCTGGCTGGGGGATTCTG